TTAGGGTTAGGACATCTCCTCGATGGTACTGATCTCCTGGCTCAATTTGGTGAGTACAGTCGAATTTCCCGTAAGCAGATGCACTAACCGCAAGCGATTTATTTTACAAATACAGTACTGTATGTATTACAATATAATGTATTCAATAAACATAACAAAGTCACGTTGAAAGAGCTTTGTTTTCTCTACTGTAGGCTGGAGGTCAATAGAAGTAAGAGTTGCTGTATTTTTTCTCGGCTTCGCAAAAAAAAAGAAAATACCGTTAAAAAATGAATCTTGAATGTCCAGCGCTGCTGACAAAGTTTTTTAAAAGAGTGATCAACACAGCAAAGATTGTTATACGGGAATGTGCCTTTACATAGTAGGTGGCTATAGTTTGTCGTGTGATTTTCACTTTATCGGCGATGAAATTTCGATGAACTGGCTCAAATCCAAACTGAAGATGTGTAATTCAGCTCCATGTATAGTCAGTCCTATCATTCACAAGCATGCCATAAAACTGAAAACTTATTATTAATAGTATAAATAGATCATATTGAATTTAAGTGTCCGCTTTACGGGAGATTGAAAACAATGGAAAACGTCACTTGGGAATCGCTACAAGTGTCCGCGTCCGCTTACGAGAAAGCCCTCTTTTTACTATTAAAATATAAAGTATAAATTATACAGCATTTGTATGAGAGGGAAAACAGGATTTGAAAAGCTGTCCGTAAAAGTAGAACTGTATGCTTATGGGAGCGCCCGTATGTAGAGAATCGACTGTATTTTTTTATTGTGCATGAATGCCATTATATTCAAAGAAAGTCGTGTGCCAAGTTTATCGCGCGCGATGAAAAAAGAGAAACATCGAACCTAAACTTGAGCAGAAATGTTGTGTGCCACAGTTTTTGTATCTTGTATTGAGCCGCCTTAAAATAATAATAATTTGAAAATCGTTTCAGCTCACTGATTACTAGCTACTTTGGTATTTGTTTGGAGCTGTATTCATTGGACTGTGAAATAGTTGATGGGAGCAAACAGGCAAAAAGTGCTGAGAATCTTTTAAAAATCGCTGAATGCTGAAATAACTTCGTATACTTTCTTTGTATACTCCCTTCGCTCAAAGTTGTACTTTAGAGAGCGGTAGAGAGGATGTTCTTTTGAAAAAAAATTGTGCCTGTTGCCCGCACATTGTGTCTGTTGCCCGCAAATTGTGTCTGTTGCCCGCAAATTGTGTAAGCAGCCCGCATATTTTTACCCGAAGCCCGCAAATTGCGACCCGCGAACCGCAGCCCGCACGTTATGCACACTCATAAAACTGGTAGTACATTCAGACACTTGCTGTGTTCGTCCATGGGGAAGTTTATATTACGTCAGAAGGACGCATGAAGGAAGCTGACATTCAACAATGACCACAAAATTTGCATTGCATTTGCAAACCTTTGGCTGTTTTTTGATGATGAAATAGCAGATAAACACAATCAATTTATCGATAAGAATATACTAAACATCAAGAAAACATGATTTCTAGCTCAAAATTTGTAAAAGTTTGTCAACCCTGCAAAAAACATGAATTAATCATTGCGCAGCCTGATCAACTACTATTAACTACTCTAGCACGTGATCTAACAAATCTAGTTTACAAATAACCCCCAAACCACCACTGCGTTGTACTCTCACCGTTTTTTGACCCCCTAAAATTAGGATTCACGCTTCCGTAGAGNAAAGTCTGAAATATAAATGATTCAAGATCACTTCACTATTGTATTTTGAATGAGTTCTTGTTATATCTTACAAAGTGAACGCAATGATCCTCCAATCATCGAAACCGAAAGTACGATTGGTGGAGTTTGCAAGACTGAGTCACTGATATCATGATCATTTCCATGGTATTACTTGTAATTGTGGTATCTTCAAGCAAGATTTCAGCTTAATAATAAGTAAATTATGGTATTGTGTAAAAAACGTTTTGGGAATTTCTTCAAGGGTCCCTAGAAAACGAAGACCTAGAAAACGAAGACCGAAGACCCTGAAAAACGAAGACCCCTTTCAATTCTTACTAAAACAGCTTTAAATGTCTTATATAAAGCTGTTTTAGTAAGAATTGAAAGGGGTCTTCGTTTTTCAGGGTCTTCGGTCTTCGTTTTCTAGGTCTTCGTTTTCTAGGGACCCATTTCTTCAAGTTCAATTCAATTGGATATCTCCGTGAATGATTAATGACGATATTTGAAAGCTCACACACAAAAAAACTGAATTTGGAAAATCTCCAGGCAAGAATCAACTGAAAAACGGATGAAGAAAAATRAAAAAACTAGAGGTACAAATGCTCACTGGAGCAATAAAGTCAAGGAGATATGAAAGCTAAAAAACGTACAGCAGGCGAAAAGCAAAGGGATTGCGAACCACTATGAGAAGATCGTTGCTAAGCATTAACGGCAAACAATTATCCGCGCGATAACAGCAAACATGGAAAAACAAACATTGACGAGATATCATGAACTGCATACAACACTCCCTACAAAGAAATAAATCATCCTAGTAGACGATAAATCGCGGAATTTTAGGCATAACAACCCGAAATCTCCTGTAAATCATTACTAATAAAAATACCTCAGACTGGTCGAAGTAGTGTACAAAGTCGACGTCTACTTTATAAGAGCCCTGGGCGGTTTTCCTTGTGGCGTTATTTAGCTGACAGACATCYTGGGCACCAATCCCTCTGTGTTTGTAGTTGTAGGATAGACAGGTGTGTGTGGAGGTGCACTGGAAACTACAATCCAGTGGGGATGAGACATAATGGGTAGATATTACATGGTCTGCTATCACCATACCTGACAGGCATCGAAATAATAATATAATGATATAATAATGTTCTGGTCACGTGATCTTACTATTATGTTCGATTGGTTGAATACATTCATGTGGTGATAAGACGCTAATTTTATCTTCTCTTGTACAAATACTCGAATTCGAATTTCGAGTTTCGAATTCCCTTTTGTGTAAGCTTAGATTTAATCAAGCATACGTTTTTATTGTCTTCTTTGTACGTAGAGTTTTTGCATTACAATGGATCTCTGCTGAATAAAAGACTACATTACATGCTGCACAAATAACATCTCGAAACTGGAGTATTAAGATATTTCACTCGTTCAMGCAGCAAGAATTTGAAAAAAAGAGAAAAATTTAAAAGTTCTTTATTAAAAAGCAAGCAGAGAAAAGAGAAGAAAAAAAAGTTCTTTGATTGCATTTGTATTGAAATAAATTGCAGCACTAAATATCAATTCGGTAAATACCCGGCCGTACGTATGCGAAAGCTTGAACGTTTCATTTCATTGGCTGAAAATTGATGTTGCTATGCCAACTTAGCGATCGATATCCTTTGATAAAAGATTTGAAAGGATGTCTTATCTTGCACACTGAAAAATCAAGTTTCAAACATTATAGAAAACCTCAATGATATTTTATCGAACATAATATCTATATAATATTCAGTTAAGTCGATTCTATAGTTGTATTATACGTCATTGAAACTGTACTAAAGCGGAGCACGTCTTTCGTTTTGTATTTGCTCACGTAAGGAAACTAATAAGCTAAAATTATGTATGAGTCAATTCCAAGGTGCCCATCCCCCCCCCCGGGCATTTGACACTACTTTACCTCCGTACAGTGGGGAATTTGACTCTGATTTAGGAGCAGACGGGCGGGCATTTGACGATGTAGGCGACCATTGGAAATTATCGATTCATATGCGAAACTGCTATTTCGTGACACAATACGAACTTTTAAGCTTAAGTTAAAAATAAAAATATCTCGGGAACCTAAGCATTTTAATAATAATAATACGTATTATTTATATAGCGCCGATATCCTTACAGTTCAAAGGCGCTTCACATGATCACGGATCGCTATTAGCAGCCACGAGGCTTAATACAATCATTTTTGGGAACATTTTCGATCTTTTGTACTTTAATTTCACGATGAGAAATCACGATACAAAAAGCAACAAAAACACTTGAAAACTAGCGTAAAAAACTGACTTATGGGGCGGGCATTTGACCATTCATTTGCTTTTACTAGTGTTGGCATTTGACTGTCAATTTTGCCCATATGGTGGGGAATTTGACCACTTTTTTTTTCGAAAAGTCAAATGCCCGGGGGTTCGCCCCCGGGGGGGGGGGGATGGGCACCTTTGGAATTGACTCATACATTACAGCAGGTCAATTTGGTCAATTTCAATCACACATCAACGAGTCTTTGAATTTAGATTTCCATTAGTCAGGCGCGTAGCGTGGACTTTTTATGCACATGTCAGGGACCGGGACATATATTTTGGATCTGGGGGTCTAACGAACGCCAAAGACGGGAGTATTAAGGGAGTCTGGTCCTCCTCCATAAAATTTTGAAAAAAAAATCTAAATTTGAAGGAAATAACTCTTGGAAATGCGATTTCCAGCATTTTGAGA